AAGACCCAGCTAACTTCTTATCTGCATCTTGAAGAGTCCAAGTGAACAGCTTTGCTCTTTAAAGGAAATCATCTTTCACACACTGAATATGGGCTATGCAAAAGTAATTACATCCTGTTTGATATTGCTGGCTTTTACTGCTCTGATTCCTGGGCAGTACCTAATCACGATCCATTCTCATACAAAAATGGAAGTATTTTTACATGAAAAATTACACATGCCAAACAAAAGTACTAGTTATTTATTATGTATTAGCTACTAAGAGATATAATTATTAATTACTTAATAATAATAAAAGTTATTTATTACATTTGTACAGTATCTATTTAATGATATTTACCTTTTTTTAGTTATTTTTCTGTAGTCTTACATACTGCTAAGAAATGAATTTACATATCAGCTGTTATTTCTTCAGTGCTATACTATTTGAGGATAAAAAAGAATCACTCAAAACCATTAGAAAATAGATTTAAATATATTAGAAGTAAAACCTTCGTAGTTACAGTCATTTATCCACTGTTTTAAGGAAAAGACATAGAAAACTTTGTTCCTGAGTGTCTCAGCAGCCTTCTTTACTGTGAAAATGCATTCTACCCTTCACTGAAATAGTGAAACAAAGCTGTCAAACTGTCATCCTCTCATGCAAATATACATGCACTAGCTAAATATTGTACTGGTTATTAAACTTATATGTTTCAACCATAGCATGAGAGTATGAATCTCTGTTTGGGAAACAGTATTATTTGTATGTAAATAGTGGTCAATTCAACAAATTTTCTCTTTTTGAGAGCATTCTGTGGGTTTACAATGCTGATTTTATTATATTAATTTTGTTCTAAAAGACAGATCTACTGTAGCAAGTAGAGACAGTGGGAAACCATTGTGTGGATTTGAGAAACGTTAAGAAAATCTGGCAGAAATAGTGGGAAAATTCCTTTTTCTTGAATTCAAGTTCTTTTTCTGAGTAAAAACAAGAACATTCATTGTGGATCTCGGAATCCAGTTTGTCCTAAGCCCCAACCTTAGCACTTACCTTATTCCTGTTCCTGTGTCTTGAGCCAGATCTGCTAACAATGGCAGCTATGAAAAGCTGAAGCAGTATTTTAAGAACTAAAAATGTTATGCTAATCTTCAGAGATTGTTTACCTGGTTGTTTCATTATCTATCAATTTATATCATTCTGTAATAATACAGGAAAAAATAAGTTTTTTCTTTTTCATTCAAAGCATCTCATACATTTTAATTTCTTGAATCCTTAAATATCCTAAAGCATAGGTTAATGATATCCCTGTTTTAAAGATGGAATACACAGAAATAGAGAAGCTAACATCGGCATATTTCAAACATCTACAGGCTGATAAGCTTCATTAAAAAAATTAAGATATACAAAATTGGTGATTTTTTTTTTTTTGACTGTGAAGGTCATACAATGTTGGTAGAACTGCAGAGCAAGCCTATGGCAGTAGCAGAAAAATAAGAGGTCCACACCTTCATTCTGTCATTTCTTATAAGTTATGTTGGAAAATATCAAAGTTATAAATATGTTACTACATTTAAATAAAATGATTACCAAGTTTTCATTTATTAGGGACTAAAGAAAATGAAGACATTTTTGCAGAATAGTAAAAAGAGGTAACTATGACAAGTTTTAGTGTCTGTTTCAGAAAAGGTAATTTTTCATTTCAAAAGATTTGTAGACAACAGAGATTTTTGGAGTTTTTGAGGACAGTTTGCAAGCAACAATGATTTGATTGAATTTAAAATATTATTCTCACTAACCAGAGATTATAGGGTCAAGAATAGCCATGTGTAGTTTGAACAAATATAAATTAATTTACCCACAGTTTGTTCCGATTCATTTCAACACATTAGCATGGTAAAACCTGCAACTGTCATTTGAAACGGGCAGTTCTCTGATGTCTAGAAGAGTCTGTAGAGAAAATAATGTTTTTGGTCTATTTTGTTTTGACTGTAAATAGAACAAATACAGAAGTATATTTCAACTCGTCTTCTTTTCTCTTGTCTGCTTGACCATAAAAGTGAAGCTGCCGTGCCTTTTCAACACGATCCCCTTTATCTGTTTTCAACTTCATCATTCTTCTTCTAATTCCAGAAGTTCTTCTAAATTAGTTTGTGTTTTCATGTGTTTCAAACATTCCTCAAAGGACTGAAACAAAGCCTTAAACACACCTTTCCTGATGTCCTAAGGTCCAATCACAATAAATCACTGAGGAGAAGAAAGGAGAAACTTCACTATAGCATAGGGATTCACCTCTTTGGGCAGCTGATTGCAAATAACAGGTTCAGATAGAAAAATACGGAGTTTAATTCTGTTTTTCCTTTTATGGAGCTCAAGTTTGCCAGGTTCTGATGATGCTTCACTTCTGGCACCTTTCAGTCATGTTAAATGTAAAAGCAAGTTAGTCCTTATCGATACTTCAGCATAGTTTCCTCCACGTCCAATCTGGAACCTCTGCATATAAGCTGTATGCTGTTAGCCAGAAAACTGAAAATCCAGATGCTGGGAAGCTGCTGTCAGGAGCTTTCTGCCACTGACGTGTCTCATCTGCTGAAGTAAACTTCTCCTGCTGGAGAGTCAGGCCCCAGGTGCAGGCCTGGGTGGCTGCCTCTGCCTCAGCAGCACACTGGCCATGCAGATTGTGGTCGAATCGACATTGGGAACAATTAAATTTGCTCGGTCAAAATAAACAACTTAACTCCTGAATCAAATCTTAATCACGCTCTATTGCCTTGCTTTCTTGTTTTTATCCCTGTAGGATTTTTCATCCTCTGAAACCAACAAAGAAACTGTATTCTGCTTCAGTTTCTGAAACCCTGTCATTTTTTTCCAGACTTTCCATTTCATGCTGTTTGAATTTTATTAAGATATCTTTACACAAAAACAGAATACCAGCTATATGATGCACTGAGGGATCTAAAAGACTGTTGCCATTATGTCTCAAAACTCTTGAGACATTTTATTTCTACTATAAGCATTTAATGCATTGTGTCTAAGGATACAAAGTATCTTAACTGTTTGTAACAGGGATCCCAATCTGCACTGGATTTAAGTGGGTTTTTTTTATTTTCCTTTTGTTTATTAATTAGCCTATCACAGCAACGCTGATCAAATAATTCCTCTCTGCAAACTGAATTGTATTTTCGTTACATCTCTGGATGGGAGGAGACTGGTTCTATTTCAGAGCTATGGGTGTTTGTCATATCGTAAGTCATCTATTCCTAAGGCTGTGGCTTTCTTTTTGGCAACTCGATTTATCATTACTAAGTATGTTCACCAGGTATTTTCCAGAAGCATTTCTAGTTCATCTGTTTCTGCCTCCAATACTTTCTGTTGTGCCCAGCACACTCACTCACAGCCACGCATTCTTTGTAGCAGAGTCAACGAAAGCATGCCCCCTCCAGTGTACAGGCAAAGATCTTGCAGATGTTAAAAAAAGGTTTTATTTTCACTCATCAGTTCTGAAATCAAAATGAACTGCTCAGTTCTGAATTATTTAGAAACAATTTTAAAAATTAAAGACAGGTGTTTTAAAATAAAATTACATAGAAAGGTTTGTTCTAATCTTTTAAAAAGAGCTGGCAAAAATGATTCTGTTTTCAAAAAGCTGTCTTGTAATTGTGTTTGTACATGTAAAATAGCAGTAGAAGTATTTAATGATTATTTAATTCAAATAATATAGTTCTATATGCTAATTTGATTGAACAGTATTTTGAAAATCCAATCTCTGAATAATAATCTAGATTCTGGGGTGCAAACTTTAAAAATATTTATATCTTTATGTTTTAATATTCAGCTTATCAGTACACATTTTTGTGAAATGCTTGCTCATTCTCTATGCCCTGGGCTTTCTGGGGACATATTTGAGGTGCTGGGATAAAAAAAAAAATAGGAAAAAAAAAAATAAAAAAATAGATATCATGAAAAATAATTAAGCAAACAAAAAGAAATTTAAAAACCTGGTGTTCTAGGGCAAATGGAAATATTTATACTGTTGAAGTACGCTATGTATTGGTGACTCAAATAACAATTTTCTGTCAGAGATAATTCTGAAATGTTTACAGGGAGAGTTTTATTTTGTTCCATTTCTAAAATTGCAAGAGGAATTTGATAAAGAATGCAAAAATCAGCCCCAGATAATGCAATGGAATTGCTAATATAAGTGTGTCAAATTGCACCACTGTTTAACACGGTATAGGGCTGCAAAGTAACTCAATAATCATTGATGTCTAGTCACTTTTTCTGTTTCCCAGACCTCTGTTACTGCATTTAGCATATATAACACTTCTGTTCCTCTTAACAATCCCACAAGGATATCACAGATAAGGATAACAATAGTTGCTCTCTCAAAAGAAGACAGTTGATTTTGTTGTTGTTGTTGTTGTTACTTAATCTTCTTATGCAACAGAATTACTGTTCCTATTGTCAAACAGAGCAAATGTCTCTTGTTATTATCAAGATAGCTTTAAATGCTGCCTCACACAAACATACTGAGGCAGCTGTATTTTAACCCTTGTAATGCTGGTTTTCCATGCAGCTTCTTTGTAGAGTTCAAAGAAAAGAACAGTGTTATGTTAAAAAGTCAAAGTCAGCTTTTCAATGTCATGAGATGCTTTGTGCTTCTTTCATCAATTGGTTAGAAGAACAAAATTCAGGTCTTACTTACCCTGCAGACATTTGAAACAATGCCATAAACATCTACCTGTATTACCTCCAGTTTTATTCTGTGATAAAACTTCTTTTTTATTGTTCAGAGGATGATTAAAACTGAATTTAGAGGTTACGTTCATAGAGTTCTGCATTTGTCTCTTGGAATATGTCTCTCTTCAGTGGTAAAAATAACTGCAGATATTCAGAATCCCAGAGATTAACTATAAAAGATTAACTATAAAAGTTGGCATTTTCCATCATAAGGTGTGCACTTTTTATAATAGATAAAAGTTACACAGTACTCATTTTTTTCCTTATGTTCTTATTGCAGGATGTGTGACACAGGAGAAGGGCTGTTCACCTTTCAGACACGAGAAGGAGAAATGATATATCAGAAAGTCCATTCTGCAACACTGGCAATAGCAGAGCAACATGAAAGATTAATGATGGAGATGGAGCAGAAAGCACGGGTAAGATCCTTTCACCAAAATATTTAAACTTATAAAATTGGTAATGAACAAAAGAAGTCTTCAGTAAAAGTCTTTAGTAAAGTCTTTAGGCAGTCCATGAATTCAGCCATAATAAAGATAATAGCTGCATGGCTAAGAGAAAACAATTTTCATGTATTGTTATGGTCATGGATTTTCAGAATATTCAATGCAACCACCTTTTGCTGGTGTCTTTTTGGAACAGTAGAGACCACTAAATGCTAGGTGCATGGTTACCTTCTTGAAAATTGTTGTTCTGTTACTCAGAGTTCAGACCTTTTGCTGGAAAAAAAGTCCAGTGTAAACACAGAAAACCTGGACGACAGCAGTCAAAGTCTGTTGTTCTTAATCCAGGAAAGACGTTAGTTACCCTTACACTGTGGTCATAAAGAACTATTTTTTAATTTTTCAGTCTGAATTTGCAGTTTTTAAAAGTAATCTTTATGTGCTCAGAGAACTTTCTGAAAAGTTTGGAGATTTTTAAAAAGATCATTCTGGAAAGCTAACTTTTAAGTGTGGTTTGAAGCTACTTTTATATCAACCAAAGAGGAAACATATGGGGAGTCCAGTGAACCTTGTCTGCATGCTTTTCATAGAATGATATGATTGTTTGAGTTAGAAAAGATCTTAAAGATCAACTACGTCCAACCTACCTGCCAAGGGCAGGGATATTTTTCACCTTTCTTCTGAGATGACCACAATTCTCCACGTATCGTTGCTCCTAGAAAGAGATGTGAGAATAATTGTTCCCTTTCCATTGACACACTCTTCCTTCCCTTGCCCACCATGCATGTGTCCATGTATATTTGAATAGCAAAGGGCCATTCAATTCTCCAGAGTCCAACTCCCATTCCTGATTACTCCCCAGAGCAGTCTAGTTTTCTTTCTTTACAGTATGACGAACTTGAAAAATCTTCTATAACAAAATTTGCTGTGTTGAATGCTCCCTTAGACTCTGCATGTCTTTAAGATGGAAAGTTATAAAAAGTGCTTTTTTTCTGTGGTTTTTGAAAAAAGATGGATGATTTTTTCATTAAAACTAGACAATCTAGGACTGTGTGAAGAAAAATTGAGATACAAAAATTTTGGACGAAAAGAAAATAGGTAGAGGAAAATTCACAATCAAGATATAACATTAGGGACAAATGAACAGTTGCTGAAAGCACAGCCCATGATAGATGGCAGAGAAAATGAAAAACTACCTGAAATACTAGAAATGCTGGGAAAATAAACTGCATTCTGCTGGGCAGAAGGTGATTGGTTAATAGTCCAAAACCAGAAAGAAGCAGTATTATAAATATATCTGCTTATATTCCTGCTGCCCTAATAAGTGCTTAGACCTGAATCCGGGATTATATGGGATTTTCTTTCCGTGGAATCACCACTTTCAGATCTTCCACCTATTGATTAACAACTCTGCTGCTTAGCAAAGCTGTTTCCATTCTGCCATCAGATGACTTCTCTAAAACCTCATTTAATGAAGATTGTGGCCATATGGTACAGAATATCAAACTCTGAGAAAAGACTGAGAGATAGAAATGACTCACCATCATCCACGCATCATGTAATATACTTTGTTCCTGATGAATCTTCACTGTGATCTTCACAGGGAGATCGATAGAGCTTAGTGGCCTACTGTAGGCTGTGTAGAAGCTGTAGGCTGTACAAAAAATGGCTCAGAAATCTGTTGATTTTTATATATCAACTAGTAAGTTAAGGTTGTTTTGGTTTTGGAAGCTCTGTTGCTCCTGTCTGATCGAGTGCTGAAGCTTCAACAGATTTTCTGAGTTACCTGCAGTATTTGAGTTGTATTCATATTCAAAACAAAATCTGAAGGTATTAAATAGACTCGCTGTAGGTTATTTTCCTTTTATCAAGTATAAATACCATTTTCACTGTATGTCATATAAATATTTGTTTCCCTTAACATCTGTAATCTAAGCACAAACAAGAGTGTATTTTTTAATCAGGGTCTACAGGTCCTTCTCAATCCTGATCTTTTCCTTTATAGCTCCATACTATTGGGTTATTTTTTTTATTGTTTTGCTTTGCTTTTTGACTATTTCAGTTATGAACACTCATGTATAATATTATAGAATTATATCTTTATTTTCTTTTTTTTTATAAATATGAAAATGAAAGAAACTATGCAAGAAACTTTAAAAAGGGTAACTTAATGATATAATAATTATTATACAAATCAGAAGAAGAAATGTCAACAGTACTGATTAAAGAAAAAAAGACATAAAACATACACGTAAAAAAGGAGCAGGTTAAGTAGTTATTCATATGCATATTTTTCTCTTTTACTCATGTCCTTTTCAAATTATAACACTAGAAGAAGAACCTGAAACATGAGATCGGTTGTCACTGGCATACATATGTTTTTAAATTGACTATTGGATTTACTGTAATTAAAAGACACGGTATTTTACTGAAATAGTAAATCAAGACCAACTGGACTGTGACCTAGTCGTAACTTAGGTGCCCTTCTTGATTGATTTTGAAATGCTAAATCATCGTGGCTATAATGGCTGATGTTCACTATCTTTTGGACAGTAGCAAATTCGGGTCAATGCTAGTACTTAAACTGAAACTAGTTTCAGATAAAGTTTCATCTGTATATGTATATCATATGTACATCTTTTTTTAGTCTTCTCTTTTTTAATAGATAACATAGCTGATAATTTTGCCTTAAAGTTGTATGGAGTTTTTTTGGGGGAGGAGAGAGTGATACTGAAATGTGTCGGTAGTTTTCTACATTATCAACACAAAAATTCAATTTAAAACAATAGCGATTGGCTTTCTACTTAAGAGTTTTCACGTTGTTGTACTGTCTACATGAGAGTATCAACAACTTTGGTTTTATCCTCAGAATAGTCTCTATCCTCATATATCTACTGTCTCACCACTACCACCATGTTTTTATATATGTTTTTTTTAATATACCATTTACAAATCTATTTGGTTTTGTAGTTCTGGAATTTTTTCAAAAAAAGTCTCAAGAGTATCAGGTATCTTGCCCCAATTGTAGTGAGATGTTGTGCACAGAAGATGCACATATCAGTTTCAGCTAGATTTCTCTCCTGTCACCAGGCTGGGCTGCTAGCTCCACTTCCCTTTTATTAACTCAGCTTCTCATCTGACTGAGTCAGTTCAGATAGCTAATTTGATCAATTGAAAAAAAGCAAGCTAAAAGCAAGAGGGTTCTTTGGAGGTACTGAGCCAAACTGGTTTACAGAAACAGCACTGAGACATTAGATCTTCTCAGTTGTACCTTAAGGAGAGAAGGAAAATGAATGATTCACACTTCGTAAATGCTGAGCATCCTCCCTCTTGCAGTCAGTGAGTGATACTGGTTTTAGTGATCTTTTCAAGGAATCCCTAAGATCACTTTCATGCACCAGCGTATGAAAGCTGTTGTGCTCAGCATCACTTGTCTATCTAACCTCTACAGCATGATGACAATTTGCTTACAGCTGGCAGTGTAACTTATGGCCTTGATTTTCCTTCTCAATGACATCTTTATTCTTCTCATATAGCCTTCACTGAAAACACTTCTACTAAGTGTATAAAATTGAAGGTTAAGAACTGTAGATTACTCATATTCATTTCTCTTATTATGACTGTATATATGACAGATGCACGCTTGGGAATTAGAGCTGTATCTTTGTAACCTTGTAAATTACATTTTTCCAAGGCTGACAAAGGAGACGCATTGTGTAATCTCAAAAAAAATATTAAAAAAAAAAAAAGGCAAAACAAAAAGTAAAGCAAAAATTCTAAACAAGATAATGCTGTAGTTTATATTGATCATTTGATTTTAATCAAGTATCAAAGATTGAAGTATAAATTCTTAAAGAAATATGAATGGTTAAATTTTTCATAATTCGTAATCACAGAATACATTCTGTGATGCTTGTTTTCCTTTGTACATCACAGCTGCAAACAAATGTAATTTTAGAGTGATACTTTTAACATTAACCAGAAAATAAACAAATTAACAAAACACATCTGTATATTTCCTTTTCCTCGTTATTTTCAAGTCTTGTGTCTAATATGAATGAATCAGTCACAGTGATAGTGTTCTGTCATTTTAATAAACTAGTACCAGTGAACTTATTCTCTTTGTTTTTAAAGTTATTAATGAGGGAATAACAAATGTGGCAGTGAAAACAAATATCAGGTAATATAACTGTACTTAAAGAGAAATTGGAGAATAAGGTGGATAAGAAATAAGGCTGCAAGTTATTTAATCTTTCCATTCCTTAGAAAAGGATGAGGAAGAGTTCATAAGACCAGTCTGATGATAAATATAAATTACAAGGTTATCAGACGTAATATTAATGAGAATGTAGGTAGGATGAAGAATGTCAGTGGTAAATTGTCAGATAATTAGGAAAAAAAAAATACTTGAGACAAGAGAAAATAGCAGTATTGCTTTCGTAGTAAGCTCTGTTCTTTACTATGTATTTCTTCACATATTTTAAGCTGATAGCAACCTAAACAGATATTCATCAAAAGTTTACAGAATCAAACATCAAGAATAATTACATCAAAAAGATTCTAAATTTTTTATTTTCAAATGACCTTTTACATTTGAGGTTTCCTATCTTTGCCAATGCATATTAAAGGATTTTTCATGATTGTTATGCATATTTTTATGTCATGTCATACATATCACCTATTATTTTCCAATTGTCAAAAATTGGAAATTCATGAACATGCTACTGGATGTTTCAGAAGTGATGATTATATGAAATACTTAATTAAAACATATGTCTTATGGGCTTCATTTCAACACTGTAGTTCACTTAATGTGATAAAGCTTTTGTTGTTCTGTTTGTTTTTTGTTTTGTTTTGTTTTTTTTGTTTTTGTTTTTTTTTTGTTTGTTTTTGTTTTGTTTTTTTGTTTGTTTGTTTTGTTTTTTGTTTTTTGTTTTTTTTTTTAATGTTGTGATTCTGCATAAGTGTATTTGGGG